AGGATTACACATGTGAAGTATGAAAGTCCTAGCATCAATCGTTCAAAAGTATTAGCCAATGTCAAAGTTTTTCAAAAGGAGGTCAAACTCTAAAGTCAAAGGGTCAAATCTGTTTGTATCCAAAGGAAGGTCTTGTCACAAGGATTACACATGTGATAAATGAAAGCCCTAGTACCAACCGTTCAAAAGTTATGGCTAAGGTTAAAGTTGGGTAAAATTTTGTAAAACATGGTCAAACTGCAAGGTCGAAAGGTCAAATATGATGGTACCCAAAGACAGCTCTTGTCACAAGGAATACACATGTGAAATATGAAAGCCATAGCTTCAACCAATCAGAAGTTATGAGCAATGTCAAAGTTTTTGCAGGTAGACAGACGGACGGACAGGGCAAAAACTATATGCCCCCGAATCTTCGATACGGGGGCATAAAAACTATAAAAAGGGCTGGGAATAAATCAGAGTGCTTAAATATTCTTCATATAACATCACTATCATGATTACGACTGGCCGTAGACTTTATTCAAGCTGATTTCGGTTACAAATTACTTAGTTCCTATTACAAAACTTTAAATGGTAGATAGAAAATTTGTATAACTTTTCTAAATATTGTTATAGAAGTTAGAACTACAATCTGAATGTAACTGCATTCTCAGTAAACATGTTGATAAAATGCACCCTAACCTTAACATTTTGGGAGGAAGATTCTCTCATTGTGTTAGGTAAGGTAGTGGCAGGCTTCGGTGAAATGGGAGAAGATTCTCTCATTGTGTTAGGTAAGGTAGTGGCAGGCTTCGGTGAAATGGGAGAAGATTCTCTCATTGTGTTAGGTAAGGTAGTGGCAGGCTTCGGTGAAATGGGAGAAGATTCTCTCATTGTGTTAGGTAAGGTAGTGGCAGGCTTCGGTGAAATGGGAGAAGATTCTCTCATTGTGTTAGGTAAGGTAGTGGCAGGCTTCGGTGAAATGGGAGAAGATTCTCTCATTGTGTTAGGTAAGGTAGTGGCAGGCTTCGGTGAAATGGGAGAAGATTCTCTCATTGTGTTAGGTAAGGTAGTGGCAGGCTTCGGTGAAATGGGAGAAGATTCTCTCATTGTGTTAGGTAAGGTAGTGGCAGGCTTCGGTGAAATGGGAGAAGATTCTCTGCTTGTGGGAGGTTATGGAGGAAACTCCTAAAAAATAAAAGTTACAAAATGAAAACGCAAATTAAAAGAGTGCATACACATTACACATCGCCACAAAACACCTGCACAAATTAGTTTGCTCTTAGTATTCTATGTTATTTTTTACAAACACCATTGCATTTAACAATGAACATTCAACTAATAAATGCATTCAATATTGATTAAATGTAGTCGAACCTTATCATCTTGGGAGGAAGATTTTCTCATTGTGTTAGGTTAGGTAGTGGCAGGCTTCGTTGGAATGGGTAAGGTTCTTGTGGGAAGGTTAGCAGGAGAATCCTAAGTAATTAGAGTTACATAATGAAAACACGTTTACAAATTATCATCTGAGTATGTCATACGATGAACAATGTACACAATTTATATTAAAAAAATAAATAGTGTTGTCAGATCGTAGTACAGTATTCTTTTCAAATTTCTACAAACAGCATCGCATTTGGCAATGGAAATTCTACTATAGATTGACGACAACTCGGATCTATTGCTGACGTGTTGTGGAGATACCGAAATTGTATTTCACGGATATCCGTGGCTGCGCATCCACTATTTAATACCCCCAAACTCCAATCAAATAGCATAGTGTAGCCTTCTTCTATACATTGATAGAAGTAACAAGAGGCCCATGGGCCACATCGCTCACCTGAGCACATTGGCTAGGAAAAAAGCAAAAATCAGTACAGTATTGAAAAGTTTACAGGGAGGGGGGTGTTGAATTTTGAACTACCTGATGATGCTTTCATATCAATATAACATATGGCTTTGTTGTTCTTGAGCAGCAGATTTTTCCCCATATATTCATTTGTAAAAATTTGATCCCCCATTGTGGCCCCACCCTACCCCCGGGGGCCCTCATTTGAACAAATTTCATTCTACACTACCCAAAGATGCCTCCATATTAATTTGACTAATCACGGCTTTTCTGTTCTTGAGAAAAAGACTTTTTCCTATATATTCCTCTGTAAACTTTGATCACCCATTGTGGCCCCAACCTATCCCCAGGGTAATGATTTGAACAAACTTGAATCTTCACTATCTGAGGATGCTTCCATATAAATATGACCAATCATGGCTTTACTGTTCTTAAGAAGAAGATTTTTAACGCTATTTTCCTATATATTTCTATGTAAAACTTTGATCCCCAATTGTGGCCCCACCCTACCCCCGGGGGTTATTATTTGAACAAATTTGAATCTTCACTACCTGAGGATGCTTCCATATAAATATGACCAATCATGGCTTTACTGCTTTTAAGAAGAAGATTTTAGAGATATTTTCCTATATATTTCTATGTAAAACTTTGATCCCCAATTGTGGCCCCACC